CTGCTTTCTTGCGAATGGTATCCACGGTCACTGGCAGCGAGCGCGCACGAACTTCCCACACAAAGTCCGCTAGCTTATCTTCCAGCTGCGTATGAACGGCACTTCGTCCACGAAATTGTATTTTTCGAGGATTGCACATCTGCAGCTTCCTTTTCTGCACCCTCCAATAGCGCACGCTTTTTCCGATTCAACAAAGCGGCGCTGAGCAGCCATAATCCCACTCGCTTCTGCAAACTCAACAACATCTAGTTTAAACGCAGCTGAGTACTGCCTCCTCGCACCGCTACTCATATTCAGTGAATGAAAAAAAAAAAAAAGACCACTAAAAATGCAGCGCAATGTCAAGTCAAGCGGAGCGAAAACTCTGAACAGATCGGAAGGAAATCAGGAACACAAAGAAAACAGACGAAGAGAAAAAAAAAACAGCCTGCGATTGGATTTGGATGCGGATATGGCCGCATCCGGCTTCTCAAGCACATGCAAGCCACATGTTGCCAGACAGTGGCGCGCTTCCAGCTAGACACCGCTATATTAGACGAGGAGCGACTTTAGCTTATTATTTTATTGAAAATATCTTGACTTATATTCCGCTTTATACGGTACATGTCGGTATGTCAGAGGTGTCATAGACGGAGGAAGTCGGCGCACATTTGTCACAGAGAGGCTATCAAAGCAGCTGAAGTTGCCATGTGCGGGATCCACCATCATTGCGCTCAACACATTCGCAAGCAAGTCAAGTCGAGCAGCACAAAGGCGACGTGTTGTGCAGCCCCGTTCGGAGAGTCAGTTTTCACGCACTGAAGTTGCCTTACAAGCCATAGGAATTCCGCACATATGCCAACACATTGAAGCAAGTACAATTTCACCGCTCGTCACGGAAGTACAAAAAGCTGGAAAAAATATTGCTGATCAACTACTATATTGATCCGTTGTCAAGGAAGAATGCATAAGTGTTCTTGTCCGTTACGACCAAATGTGGACGGTGATGATGGGAGAGGTGACTCGATGCGCAGGCGATGAGACGCTTCTTGCTATGAACTCGAAGCTAAGGTGGATGTTTTAAGGCAACACCAGCGTGGCATCGGATGTTACAGACTCACGGATTATGGTCTGCGTATTGAAAACCAGTTTACAAGAGAGCCACAAATTCTTTCGTTTGTTTTGGGAATTCGAGAGCATAGGAATAACAGACGCCGTCGACAGTGAGAGCAAGCCCCGTCCAGTACTCAGGAAATTTGAACAGACCATCTGTCTTAAAGGTGAAACATACGAGGTGACGCTGCCCTGGAGGGAAGACGTGGAGCTGCAAGCAGGATTGACAGTGAGGAAGTGGACAACCAACTCTGATGGATTGATGATAGCATTAGAGCACGAAGAACAATCCGCAGGCAAGGAACTCGCCATCCTCCATGAGACAAGTGTTGAAGTACTTGGAATTACATGGAATCCACACACATATAATTGCACATTTTCTTTGAGGGGCCTTCTCTAATTTATGATACAAAAATGTGATACCACGTTTTTCAAGCTGCTTCAAGAATATTCAACCAAATGGGATTTGTTGCACCATTCACCATTGCTATAAAGATCTTCTTGCAGAAGTTATGGACACGTGGTATAGCATGAGATGAGCAGCTACCTTGGGATCTTCAGGATGAGCGGCGCGAATGGGTGCGTCAACTACCGCTTTTGCAGAACGTCTCCGTGCCACGTTACCTTGGCAGCGGATCCAAATCATTAATGTCACCCCAAGAGATACAGGTTCATGTTTTTTGCAATGCAAGCTCTTCGGCATACGGTGCAGCACTTTACGTCTACCAAGCTGTTTAGCAAAGCCCGAGTTGCTGATTCCAAAAGCCCGTGTGCAACCTGTCAAGACAATGACACTTCCACGGCTAGAGCTTCTAGGAGCCTTGATTGGAGCAAGACTACTTCACTATGTATCAAATGCCCTCACAGGCATCGAGATGCACTGTGCAATGTGGTCAGATTCCACAATCACATTTTTGTAGATAAAAGGCAACATGATGAAGTGGAAGCAATTTGTGTCACACAGAGTCAAAGAAATCAGGGAAAAAACAGATTATTCCATATGGAGGTCATGTCCTGGTCATGTGAATTTGGCCAGCCTGCTCACATGTGGTGTTTTGGAGAAATTATTGTCCAGTAGCACATGGCGACATGGACCAGAATGGCCATGCGAATCCTGAACATTAATATTTACAGCAAAATTGAAGGGCTACTCAGGGTCACCGCCTGGGTATTCAGATTCAGTGAGTGCTGTCGCTTAAAAAACGCAGCGCACACTGGGTTTCCAGTAGCCGAAGAGATTGCTGAAGCTAAAAATTATGGATCAGTCATGTACGGCAACAAGTCTTCAGAGAAGAAATTAGCTTGATTCAGAAAAACAGAAGTGCGAAAGAGGACTCTCGCATCAAAGACCTCAAGCCGTTCTTGGATGACAACAGCATCCTTCGGGTCGTTGGGCGTGTGTTACATACCGAAGCATCTGAAGAGGTAAGACACCCAGTCATCCTCCCACACGATCATCGCTTTTCTACGTTACTGACAGAATGAGATTATTGTGAAACATGGTACGGTGGCATTAGAGACACTTTGTCGCAGTTGAGAGAGCATCGTTGGATCTGCCAGGCACGAACACTAGTGAAGAAAGTGATACACGGCTGCTATACGTGAAGGCGCTTCAGTATTAGCCTAGGCAACGCTCCGACTGCTCTTATAGCATGTCATTTTTTGACACCGACAAGCCTATTCGAAGTCACTGGAGTTGACTTCGCAGGACCACTATTTCTTGTGACTACAGCCGGGGCCGCAGAGAGCAAATGTTACATAGCGCTTTTCGTATGTGCTACATCACGGGCAGTTCATCTGGAATTGGTTTCAAGCCTGACCTCGGAAGCCTTCCTCATGTGTTTGCGACGCTTTGTAGCACGAAGATGTCTACCTCGCGTGATCTATTCAGATAATGCAAGAACGTTTAAGAAGACGTCAAGAGACTTGGAGAAGCTCTTCCAGATACTTTCACAAGAGGACGTATCGTTATACTTGGGTCAGAAGGTCAGAAGAGGGTCACCTGGAAGTTTATCCTTTCCAGCACTCCATGGTAGGATGGATGGTGGCAGCGTCTGGTCCGTACTGTCAAACTTCCACTCAGAAAGGTTCTCGGCAAGGCTCAACTTAACTTTGAGGAGCTGACTACTGTGCTATAGAAGTGGAGGCGGTTCTGAACTCGAGGCCTCTAACCTACAATGAGTCGGACTGCGGGGAATCTCGTGCATTAACCCCAGGAGACCTCATTATTGAAAAAAGACGACAATACCACATAGTGGCAAGGACATGCCAACGGAGCTAATGCGCACGGAAGCGATACGACGGCATGCATATAAAAATGGCTAACTGAAATTTTTGGAATTGGCAAACAAAATAATATCTGCTTCAGCTTCTATCAGCACACTTTACGCCTAATAGAAGAACTTTATGCATAATAATCAACGAAGCTAACAAAATAATATCTGCTTCAGCTTCTATCAGCACACTTTACGCCTAATAGAAGAACTTTATGCATAATAATCAACGAAGCTAAAGCAGGTGACATCGTTATAGTTCATGCTGAAAATTACCCCGACTAATGTGGAAGCTTGCAATAGTTTTGGAAGCTTACAGAGCAGCTCATTGACATGTCCGTTCTTGCAAGATTCAACAACAGCAAGGAGTTGTTACCACAAGGCCTATACAAAAACTTTATTCACTCGAGCTGAACGAGTGACTTGGAGGCCGGAAGTGTGTTTAATCAAGCACAGCGCCATGCCGAACTGAGCAAGAAGCGCCTCCTTCCACGTACAAGCCGGTGCTCACGAGCACTTGCAGCCAGGAATCGACCAAGACGACTGAAAATAAATATTGTTCGTGATGTTTAAGCCTTGCTCTTTGCCAGTGAACCATATGCCATTTTAAACTTGGGCATGTCTGTCTGCCCTCTCCTTCAAATCAAATGAAGACGAGTAAGGGCAAGTGCACAGATGAGGATAGGGGAGAAGGAGGGGGTCGGCTTGCCGAATTGGGCTAGTTTAAAAGGAACAAGAAACAGCATAATGAATGAATTAATAAACTAGTAAACAAGTTATTATTACTACACCTAAACCTCGATGTAACGAACCTGGGTATAATGAAATATTGGCTATAGTGAAGTAAATTAAGAGTAGTAATACAATCGACATATGTCTTTATTACTAATTTTTGGATACAACAAACTTTATGCAAGATGCAGTTTTCTTATAGAGTTGAACCCCTTTATAAGAGGCACATATATAAGAGATAAATGGGTATAAGAGACGCCCCTGTGCCCACAACAAAATACGGGCTGATAACAAAATGCCTACGTGGTGCCTTGCTTGTAAGAAACATCTCATATAAGAGACAAGAATTGCTGACCAGAGCGTGCCTCACATGAAGGGGTTTAACTGTGATAAAGTTTTAATGTAGTTCTTACCACGGTGAGGTTGCCATTGTCAGGTCACAGCTTTTTTTTTTTTTTTTTCATGACTATTGACGACCACAATTCTGTAGAACTCCTGTTTCCCTTCCTATGCCTTCAACAGAAGTGTCCCCCCTCCTCCTCTGCTTTTTTTTTCTTCCTTTCTTTACTGTCTCCCCTTCTTTTTGACTCTCCTTCGGCATGCCGGCTCCCTCCTTCTCCCCTATCCTCGCTATTCCACTCGCTCACTCCTGCTCTTTTGTTTGAGTTGGAGGAGAGGGCACAAAACATGCCTGTACACATGCTAAGGTATGCAGTCACGGTCTTGAATTAGACTAGTTTGCTTGTCAAAACGTCATCTCCAGCGACACCCTGTGTTTTAGAATTTTTCATCTCTTTAAACTTGCATCAGCACCTGAACTTCTGTCTTTTAACTGATTTTTTGTCACTTTCTTTTTGTCTTTTCTTTTGCCTTTTCATTTTTACCATCCCTGCGCTGCCAAAGCTGGATGCGGGTGTGCCAGAGAAAATCTGCCTCATGTCGCGGGATGAGCAAAACATCCTTGTTGTGAGCTACGCTGAGCTGAAGCAGTGCCTCGAGTCTTCGTTCAGCGAGCTGCTGTCGGCCACTTCCTCAGTGCCGCCTACATCGTCTCTTCCCCCACCTTCGGCTAATCAGCATGCCCGGTGACTACTCCAAATGCTGTTCTTGTTTACTCTGGCTGCCGCTATGGCATGCCCGGGCACTTTGTTTCGTTTTCGTTGTGCTGCCAGTGAAGAGATGCCTTCGGGCAGGAGCCCGCATGGGATGACAGTCCTGCTATGTTGCCAAGTGAGTCTTGCTAGTGCCACTCCTTTCTGTGCTCCTTTCTGTGCATATGCGGCAATTTTCTTTTACACGTGTTGGCGGAGTGCTTAATTGATTTTTTTTTTTTTTGTGCGGTTGTTCTTGTATTTTTTCTTCCTTAAGGAATTCTCTTATCATTGCACGCCTTCTTTTCTGATGAATGGATAGTTATGACAACTGGTGAAGGACTGCTTTTTTTTTCCCTCACTATTTCTTTCTTTTTTTTTAGACAATAGCACAAGGTGTATGGCATTGGCAGTTGATCGGTGGTCTTGTTTCGTTTTTGACGCTTTGGCACTTTCGAGCGCTGACGCACTTGCCACCATCTGTTTTGCTCTAACTGGATTATTTTTTATTCTGACCTTTTTTAAGAAATGTAGTCAGAGAGTCTATTTATCACACTTCTGTGCAGCCTGTTGCCTTCTTGTCTTGAGCTTTGTAAGTGATATTTCTGGTCCCCCTCCCCACATGCGTCTCTTTTTTTGGTTTATCCTTCGTGGCACAATTTGTCTTGTACTTAATTGTCGCTGTTACTGCGCACAACTTTTTGCCACAATGTGGACATTAGTCAGTGTGTGACAATGACTGTAGTGCAGGAAGCTGAGTAGCACAGGTTTGGTTTCTCGTTCTCTTATTATCAAGCCACTGCTATAGTACTACAATAATAAACTTAAATGGGGTGCAGGGGGAGCGGGAAAAATAAAAGTTCTTTGCTTGTGTAAGTGTATTCAGTTCTTTCTTCTAAGCTTAAACTTGGAACTGGATGCAGGAGCTTGTTAAACATATTTGTTGGTCTCAAGGCAGCTAAGCTAATGGAAGTTCATGCTTTCATGCTGTAATATTGTCTAAAAACGTTAGCACAATTCCACTGGAGTGTGGAATGCATGCTTTTCTGTCGCACACTGTAGCTGTCTGACGTGTCTCTATTAGTCTCCTCATTTCTGTGTGCTTGTAATGGCCTACCAGCATGACCTTGCTACTACAGCAATAATGGAATTGCTGTATGCTCGGGCCATTTTGCAGTGTTCATTACTAATCAGTGTTGTTTAAGGAAGCCTGTTAGAACTGTTCCCATACTGTCCTTGTCCTCCAAGCATTCTCGATTGATCACTTAGTCACCTTAATTATGTGTGAATTTTGTGGAAGTAGATGTATGTAGAAAAAGAAGGAACTCATCCCGTGAGTGCAATTCTATATTTTTTTTAACATATGGAGCTCGAGTGAGTAATTTCATCTTTACATTGGGCCACGCGGAGAGTAGAATTATCAACGTAAAGTGATTGATGTAGAATACGTCCCCTCCACTGTATTGTAACTCCTTGTGACAAGACACAGTAACTGTAAAACTTCACTGCTGAAAGCGCAAGGCAGAGCGACGAGTCTTTCCACCATGGCAATCGGTGTTGTAACACAATGCACAGGGTTATATATCCTACACGTGTGTGTGAATTTTGACTGCCCTCCAACCACAAAGCTCGAGCTGGAACATTCAGCAACAGCAGTTCATCTGTTATGACAGTGGAACGTTGGCTCTGTTGAAATCGATTTATTTTAAGCAAACAAGGCATTTATTTTTTTAAATGTGCTACTGAAGAAGAAAGGGTACCTGAGGCCCTGCGAATACAAAGCTGGACAAAAAAAGTGCCGAGGCATGTTTTACCCTTTGTTTTGTTGATATCTTGTCTCGTGAAAACTGCCCTTCTTTTTTTTTTTTTTTCAACAAATATGAGGAAATTGGCTTTTCTGAGCGGCCCACTTACTTGTGGGGAGTACAAGGACATTTTCGTAACATTGCTCACGTAATCTAATAGTAAGTTTCATCGTCAGGGTTAACTGCAATGGCAAGAATTTATTCTGTGGACACTTTTTATTGGTTAAATCTTGTATGGCAACTAAATTAAATTTTGGTGAATTGAGGTAAGACCGAACACTGCTCACAAAACATTGTAAATTCTGCAGATTTGTCAGCATGTCTAAATAGGATGAAACAATGCTGCGTACGTATATGTGACTGCAGTTTTGTTACGAGCAGGTGCCGCAGAGCTTTTTCTGTGCACGCTGCTCAATGAATCTGCACTGCACACAGCTATGACTCTCTTCCTGAAAGCTCTGGAAATTGCAGTGACATTCAATACTTCATAATGAGAATTTGCTCTGTCTGTCAGTGCTCCTGATTTCTTGTCGAGTGGTTGTAGCAAGATTTTTGCTGCAGCTACTCATCACGCAATATCACTAGCCCAAATGCAAAACATTTTCTTGCTTTCATAGTTGTTTGTTTTCTTAGGGTGGGTTAAAAAGGAAATAAGTAAGATGCATATCGTGTTGCCACTTGTGGAGGCTGTCACGAGCTGTTATGGACCCACTGTTACGAAATCTTCTCTGTACTCGGGATCAGTCTGATGTCTGCAGAGAGTCAGCCTGCATTTTAGGTCTGAAAAACTGAGAAAACTTCATTTTTCTATAGCAGCAAGTTTTCACAATTCTTTGGTAATACTTAATTTTTTTTTTCTTTCATAACTCCTTCCATGTTCACATGACTTTTTCATGCCACTGCTTAGTGCCGTTGTTGTGGCAAGTGTGTTCTTGTGATCATGGTTGGTATTGCCCCTCTTACTAGCCAGGTGCTTTTGTTGCTAACTTTGTGGCTTCCAATGGCCCCGTCGGAATGTCTTGGTACCTTATAGTTTGAGTATTTGCCTGTAAATACAACTGTACATACATATGACACGCACACACATACTTTTTGTATGCCTCTATATGCATATATATATAAATAAATATATATATATTATGTATACTTATGGAGCCAAACTCAGATTGTGGTACTCACATTATTGGAATCACTGTCATAATCTCATTTGTAATGTGTGCATTTACTTGAAAAGGGGATCAGTATGGTTGTGCAGTGCTCGCTGGCATCATGTACATAACTCACGAATGTATATGTACATAAAGGTAGTCATGACATGCATACATGGGCAAATGAGTGCACTGAATGTTGTAATCGATTGCAAAGCACTATTGGCGGCAGTGAGCTTCTTAATGCTACAGGTAAAAAACTCTACAGATTGCTTTCTTAAATGTGGCCTTTTTTGTTACTTCACATTGCATTGAGAATGTGCTGCAGTCATTGAAGTCCTGCTTCTTCCTGTTTCTTGCAGTGGCCTATTTATTGTCAGATTCACTAGTGTTCAAAGTTCCCTTGAAAAAGTGGAAGTTGATAAGCATTGATAAGCGAGAATATTTAAAGGGATGCTAAAGTATAGCAATGGATCCATCTTGTGAAACAATGGATCAATCTTGAGTGATAAATTAATGTTTGAAAACTGTTATCATTAATGTCACTGTATAGAGAATCGGGGTTGGTTTTTAATCTTGTGCTCGTATTTTCGCACATGAACATCAGTGTGTCGTCGCAGATTTCAATTCATTTGTTTTTCTTCCGTATTTCAACCAGATTGGCTACATAAAATTCCTGAAACTTAATGCATTAAGCTGTCTGTGTCATCACAGAGAGCTGGGGCAAGAACGTCAAGGTGGTACCTTCACCTTTATTTTCTTTTTTCCACGTTGTTTGCTCACCCAGGTCTTAATGCCGCAAGAGTTATGATATTGTGAGCAGGTAATTTACTAATATGAGAAAAATCATTTTTCACAACAGTGTCCCTTTAGGCACAGTCATTGGTCACACAGCCTGTGTAGCTTTTTTTTTTTCTTGCTGTGATCTGCGTATACATTGTGCAATCCAGTGTAAGCAGTCTTAAAAGGAAGCTTCACTTTTTGTGCCATGGACTGTATGCATGAATACCTGTTTCAGTGGCACATAACATTGGCTGCATGATATAGATGCAGGGGCAGACTTGTTTTGCCATGCTGGCTATGGTGTGTGCTTTCATTCACACTACTTTGGAGCCAGTTATTCTCGCATGCTGTGCTTGAGCGGTTGCAGCGGAACATGTTGAACATGTTGGAAAGCTGCTTTTCCCCATTCTCATGTGCTCCCTGGCATAATTTATGCGTTAGCATAGCTTTAGCAGAGAGCGGCCTTTGTGACACATTCCAATTAAGATCCCCCGCCTGTTATATGTTGGGAATACTGTTTGTAATGTGTAAGGATGCCGATGTGTGAATCATAATCAAGCACTTCACTTTAAACTAGTTGAGGACAGATCTGTTGCTGCCTTGACGGGCCAAATTCTTTAGTTTATCTATCAAACCACTGAAGCCCTGCACGCTTCATTACTGAAAGAGAAACCAAATGAAACAAAACTTTTAAGAGTACAAATATGGTGTGTAATTTTGAGCTGGATGATGGGTTACGTTGGATCAATTATTAAAAGAACAGACAGGTGTGCGTGATTCCATGCCAGTCAATAAAGATGCAGGAGTCCTTGTGGCATGTGTGCGCACCAAAGCCATTTTGGAAAGTTGTTCTGTTCAAGGGTTGGCTGTTTTCAAGAAAGTGCTTGCCATTTGGGATGCAAGTGAGGCATCAATTGTTTCTTCAGCTTTCAAAATACAGCACAGTGGCAAAGCAACGCATGCAAATGTGGTCATAAATGATGGGTATGAGGGAACTGTTAGTTCTGTTTTAGGTGTGTGTCTTTCTACAAATGTAAATAAGTGGCAATTTTTTGTACAGTTCTTGTAAGAGCTATTTTTATTGGAAAATAAAGGTTAAAAACCCTTACCTAATTGTGTCTGGATATTGCAGAACAGTTAATTATGCTAATGAAGTTGGAAGTTCGCAGCCACTTTTTGGTGAAAACGCCATGGCCATAAGTGGGAATGCTTTTGCAACATGCATTAAAATGTTTATTATCTTGGCATTTACTTTTCTCAAATTTTGTCCTCATAGTAAGGAGCAGTTTACAAAGAAAAAAGTATGTACTAAATACCGAGGTGCACTGTATTTGGTCATTGGCTAGGGTGCCCTAATATTTGGTGCGTCAGTAAGTGAAAATGCTGAGGTACCTTGGGGTCTTTCATCTGCACAAAGTTGGTGGAATAGCCTCTACAAGGGCTTGTCATGTCAAGTCATTGCTAAAAAATGCTGTGCGCGGCCTGCCTCCATTATTGTAGTGTTGTGGCGCCTTGGTGTAGTACAATCATTTTGCTTTAATCAGGTGCCTGGAGACACGGGTGCTGCAATCGTTTTGACATGCTAAGTTTGGTATGTGTGTGCGCGCGTGAAGGTTCTGTTCCGTCATTGGTGAATGTGCAAGGTTATGGCCATGCAGGTTTTTAACAGCAGTGGTGGTCGAGCACCACTGATGCTGCATTCCCGAAGCTGCTTACCGACTTCATTGCTTCATTTTGCGTGATCTCATTTTGCTCGGACATAGGGAAGCAAACGAATGAGGTTATTTTTTTGCATGTTTATCTTCCTCTTCATTCTTTGATATGAGCGCGAAAAGACAAGGACGAAGGGAAGAGCATACACACACAGGCGCCAGTGTGCGTGTGTGTGTGCCCAGCTTTGTTCTCCCGTTTCCGCTTCTCGAAATTATTCTTTCAGTTGGGAGACAGCACTAGTCCTGCGCACTCTGTCTTCCTTTCATCTTCGTCTTTAGTGCTGCGTCAATTATGCAACCATTCTACTGTGTGTGTGTGTGCCTTCTTCTCTTCGTCATTGTCTTCTCGCACTCGTATCGAAGAAGCATGGCAGACCGTCAAGCCTACATCGCTACCCACGTCAATCTTCTCTTGAATGGGCACTGACCAGAGGGCACTACATCGCCAAAAAGGTTATGCCAAACGAGAAGTAGCGCCGGGGCTCCCTGGCTGAAACCGTTGCATCGCCATGTTGCTCAGGCAGTCCCCCCTGACCCGCAAAGTTATTCAAGTTTGCATGTGTAGAAATGCACGCTCACAGAATCACGTATGAAACCCACCCCCCAAAAAAATTCCCGGCTATACCCCTGCTGCTAGGAGAAATTATGTTTGATACGCTTATTGATAGTGGTTATGTGGCAAAAGTATGAACACTGTTCACGCGTTAGTGTCTGCTTTTGGTTAAGCGTGAAAAAAAAAAACGGTAATGGCTTAGCTCGACTGTATTTGAATTGACGGGGCAAACGTTTAGACAGGAGTAAAAAAGACGCGCAAGACACTTAAAAGCATCTTGTATGTCTTTTTTGTCCCTGTCGAAACATTTGCGCCATCAATTCATGTTCGGCTACGTACCAACTAGCCAGACAGTAAACGTTAAGCTTAGCTCGACTATGCCAGGATATACGTAGCCTGAGCCATGGACGGACAGACGGACCGTGCGCTCACGCGAGTTAAGCGCTAGTGAAACGTCACTCCAGGAGCTTCTCAGGCATGTGAAGCACGGCTTTCGATAAGCCACGCGAAACTGCACAACCTCAGTCAGTGTAAACGCTACAAAAACAAAGCTTGCAGTAAGCTGTGCAAGGCTTGAACAGCGAAGCAGGAGGATTCTGAAGACTAATCTATGTTGCTTCTAAATTGTTTCTCGGTCTTCGCGAGGCGTTGCTGATTGTTTCTCTATATTGCTTCGAAGTAGTTTCTATAGGCTTTAGCTAGGTCGTGTGTTAAAGCACAAACAGATGGATGTCCAAACTGCAGAGACAAGACAAGGAACGATTTGCTAAAGAGCTTCACTGTTAAAAATTGTGATGGTGAAATAAATGTCGGCCCTCTCTCGGACAACGCATGCAGCCGAGGCGGAACACTATACATTTCATATGAGTATTGCAGTCTACCGAATCTGCCGATAATCACATGGATGCATTCAGAATGTTATTTCATAAAGTACTATATTATTCAACCAGTATTCTGTTTATTTGCTATGAAAATAATCACTGGAAAAGTTTTTCTAGAATGCTCAACAGCATGACCACATTATTTTTGCATCAACTGAAATAGGGAGCGTTCTTGAGATCTCTAGCGTCGTGAGTTTTGCAAATAATCAAAATATTTCGAAAGCTGTGAAGCCATTAAGTGCGAGTTAATGAAAGCCAGCATGTTTCCACATAGACGTATGCAAACAAAGTTGAATATTCTACTAAGCTTTAAAGTCTCGCATGTTTGTATCAAGTGTATAATACAATACACTTTGTATAATATTCAACCAAGTTGAATATTATAAAAAGTTTTTAAATGTCATACAAGCGACCACGAAATGCTCATAAATGTAGGTTTTTGTGGCCGAACTTCTTGCATAGCTTCCGCGTTGCACGTGATGTATGAAATGGAGTATAGTTGGCTATAGATCTAGATATAGTTTTAACACCAAGTTTTTAACGCCACCGCATGACACACTGACTGTAAATATAGGTGCTGCCATATATTTCAAGGGATTAAGTCTCGGCTATCTAGAGTTGATAACTAACTGAAGATACGAGCTAAAGGCAGGTGCCATTGTAGCATTAGTATTAGGTTCATTATTATTTAAAGTGGTTCTATAAGTTGCACGTGGCAGTACTATAGAATGCCAAAAACTTTTGCCAAGAGGCTTAGGCAATCTCACTCTATAATGGAAGTTGTTCTGCCACTTCAATCCCACCTTCAATGAGAACAGGGTCACCAGTACTTCATTCTGAGAGCTGCAGTTCTCCACAGAATCTGTTCTATAAATGTAATGTCTCATTATCTATAGTTTTGCTAAGCTTTATCCTCATTTTAACCGAAAAATGAGCGAATATGGTACACACAACTGCTCAAGATAATAGTGGCATGTCGCTATAAATCTGGCTGCTAAAGGCAGTGTTGATTAACGTGAATGCTTGCCTTAAATTTACGACAACAGGGCATGAACTGAAGACTGTAGGAACTCCAGAGTCCAGGCTCTACACTACTTAGCCCTGAATTGTTGAGTTTGATTCCGTGCGCACTTTACTCTTGTTACTCTATGTAGATATGCTGACGCGAGTCATTACAGACCTTGAAACAAAGGTCTGTAAGGATGCAGTGGGCATCAGCAGGGAGATGAAAAGCAGTCTTGCATGGAGCAAGGGCTGAAAGACTTATAAGGACCTGTGGGATCGTATCTTGTGTGTTCCAAGTGCGAATATTGGCAAGCTGACTGGAAAGCATACAGGTTAATGCACAGTGCTCCTGGATCGAAAATACACCTACATTTCTAGTATATAATGACTGGTATTGGCTACTGCCAGATAACCACCTTATATGGCATTTAGTACCTGGACACCAGAGGTAATGCTTAGGCATAAGTCTCTCTTTGAGCACCATGAATATCCGAACAAATATTACAGTATTCGAATTTGCATCAACATGTTAAATACAAAGTTTTGAAATACTTGAAGGAATAGATAAATATCATGTAGACCCTCTGTAAGCGGGGTTTCACTAAAGTGGAATAGCGCTATACTGTTAGTACACCTGTACAGAGAAATCTGCGATGCCGCAAAGGCACACTTCAAGGCTAAATGGTCAAATTACCCTAACATCCATTGATTCATCATTTTTTAAGTTTCAAAGCTTGTTACACCGGTATCTATATATGCTCCAATTATAGTAAATTTCAAACTAAGTATTTTACAGATGATCACTTTCATTCTGCCTAAAGTCAAATCCTGCTATTCAAAATAGTTTCCATTTCCCCTTGAACTAAGTAGAATGACAATTGCACAAGGCTTGTTTCAATTTTTAAAAATATTGCATAGGTTAGATCATGAGAAATATGCTCATTCTTATTTACAATGTACAGTATCTACTATTTGAACTTGATTTGGCATTATTGACTAAGTCGCTATCCGCCTAGAATTCGAAATTTACTATTCAGACATGTCTCTTAATGTTGACCGATGCAAGTGCTCGTAGCTGACCCGCAGGTCGCGGGTTCGATTCCCGGCTGCGGCGGCTGCATTTCCGATGGAGGCAGAAATGTTGTAGGCCCGTGTACTCAGATTTGGGTGCACGTTAAAGAACCCCAGGTGGTCAAAATTTCCGGAGCCCTCCACTACGGCGTCTCTCATAATCAAATTGTGGTTTTGGGACGTTAAACCCCACAAATCAATCAATGCAAGTGCTCGTATCAAAATTGCACTAATATGGCGCAAAGGGAGTATTGGAAACTGAAGTTCCTGTATTGCTTAGCCCTATTGTCGCATTCAAAATTTCGAGCACTTTTTTGTTAAAATATACAAAACTGGGAGAGTCAATTGGGATGGATTTATTACATAAAATCTTTCAAATTGCATACAGCAAACAGACTTAAGGCAAACATACAGTCAAGCGCTGGCTCGACTCATTGGTGCGCGGTCTTTGACAAGTACAGATCTAAATTGTCACAAATGTGACTTGAGAAAAGCGCAAGCCTTTCTCAGCAACTGATGTGCCATCTCGGAGCCAATGGCACTAGATTGGTCAATGGTCGTTGCTGCTGTGGCTACCACTGCTTTTGTTCTGCTGCTACCAGGTAGTAAAGCCGGGCACCGTTGTACACGGCAACAGTGACTTGAGACGTTCCGCTTCTTGAGGCGGGTAATTTGAAGTGCGCTAACCCAATGCGGACCACCAAAACGCGACTTTATTAAAACTTAAGTCCTTCCTTGGCACAAAACTAACACCACGAGGTTTCTGGACGGCTATTTCAACAATCAACGTTGACTTAATAGTTGCCTTTAGTGTCCCTTCAACGGCTTTCGCACTCGACTTAAAAGTGTAAAGGTCTAGGTTCGAATCCCCTCGAATCGCTCATAA